TTCAAAAACCATCGTTATAATTTTTTGCTCCATAATGCTTTAAAGGCTAAGCATTTTTATCATAAAGATATTGAATATATTGTTGATAAGGAAGAGCAAAAACTGGTACTGATTGATGCCTTAACTGGTCGCTTAGTGCCAAACCGAGTATATAGTTCTGGTATTCATCAGGCTATTGAGAGTAAAGAAAATTTACCAGTCAGCACCAAAAGCAAAACAATTGCTACTATCACTTTTCAAAACTTTTTCCGTCTCTTCGATAAGTTGTCCGGAATGACCGGAACTGCCATGAGTGAAGCAGATGAATTTCGTCAAGTCTATGGAATGGAAGTAATTGCCATTCCTCCTTATCGAAAGTTAATTCGAAAAGACCGTAATGATTTAATTTTTTGAGACAAAGAAAGTAAATACAAAGCAATTATCAAGTTAATTAAAAAAAATAGTCAAACCAAAAAAAGACCAGTTCTGATTGGCTCACCCAGTGTAGAAATATCGGAATATCTTTCTTCATTGTTAGTCAAAGAAGGTATCCCGCACAATAAGTTAAATGCTGTTAATCACCAACAAGAAGCAGAAATCGTGGCTCAAGCTGGGAAATTAGGTGCTATTACTATTTCCACCAATATGGCCGGACGAGGAACAGATATTGTTTTGAGCGAAGAAAGCCGAAAAGCAGGAGGATTATTGGTTATTGGGGTGGAAAGAAATACGGCTCGACGGATTGATAATCAATTGAGAGGCCGAAGTGGACGGCAAGGAGACCCGGGCGAAAGTCGTTTTTATGTCTCCTTAGAAGACGAATTAATTAAAAATTTTGGGGTCAAAGAGCAAGTAGGAAAGATTTTCAGCCAAAGACAACTAAAAGAACTTTTCCATCGTCCATTAAGTGGGAAAATATTCAATTACCTTATCTCCGAACCCCAAGAAACTTTACGGAATTTTCAGGCTCATAATCGTCAATATCATCTTAATTATGACTTACTTATTAATCGCCAAAGACAACTTAT